GAAGGTGAATTCCAAATTGATGGTTCTTCATTTAGATCAAATATTTGCTTTATCGCAGAAAACAAGAAATCTGAGAATGATTCTGAAGAGCAAAAAAATGCTTATTGCAATGGAAATGGTTCTGAAGAAGGATTTGAAAAAGTTTTTAATTATGGTTTTTTACTTTCAAAACCAGAAACTGATCCTGTAGTATAGTTCCTGCTACAGTACAGAATGTGATCAAACTGGACACTTCATCTACAATCAAAGCAAGTGGCATTCATTCCCTTATTGTGAATTCTGATGATGTCCCGAGTGACGCAGATTCTTCTGTAAACGAAAATGATGCTATTAAAGATGAATTTGAATTAGTGCAAAAAGGAAACTCAAACACAATACAATTAGCTTCGAAGCCAACGAGGAGAAACGACACTGCAGAAGGAGATTCTGAAGAGAATCATTTTTCCCAACAAGAGTCAGTTGCTAAAGATGATGAATCAAATGTGAATTCTACTAGAACAATTTCAGTGAAATACCTTACAATAAAGAAGGAAAAGAAGCCTCTGGAGACGAAGAATCTACAGAGACCAACAAAGAAGAAGAGAAGATTGAAAAGCAGAAGTCAGTCAGAAAACCTGATCACAACGACGCTGATACGGAAAGCAAAGACGGAACAAAAGAAATTAAAGAAGGTGAGAAAAAAGAAGAGAAAAAGCAGATTCAGAAGACCCAGGAAAAAAAATCGAAAATCTTTGATAATGAAATAACGATTTTGATTATTCCTGATTTAGACAAATCCCTATGACTAATATACTATTATTTTAAAGACGTGAACTAATTTAAGAAGACTGAAGACGGTGTCTAAGGATGAAATGTATGAAGGAAGACGGCTTAAAGAAGACGATTTTAAGAAGACGCATTCGAATGACCGATCTTGAAGATATCTAACATGCATTCAGAAGACGTATCCAGACTGTATCTAAGAAGACGCATTCAGACGATATTAAGACGTATGTAAAGATGAATCCAGACGAATTGTACCAGACAACATCAAAGAAGACGTGTTTGTGAAATGTATGTATTCAGATAGACTGTTAAAGATGAACGAACACTAAAAGAGCATTGAAGAAGAGATAAAGCCGTTATTTCTGAAGATGTTAAGATGATGAGAAAAGATGGCTGAAATAAACCTTTTAGGACGACTTTTCCCTCAATAGTAACTAACAATTTATTTTTTTTATTTTTGTTTTTTTAAATTTTATTTTTCAGATCCCTAGATGTGATGGTGGTGCTACGAGAATGCGAGGCCGCATTCCATCAGGATGGACAAGCATTTGTGGGATGGCATCGTTCATTATAATCAGATGACGCGACAAGCTGTGAAAATAAATCTTTTACTTTTCCGATGATAGAAGTCAGACGATTCCGCCATTAAGACGATGACGCGATTAAAAGATGTTTGAATGTAAAGATGATTCCTTCTCTTCATCTGAAAATAATCTCACCTATTTCCTTCTACGTATGTAATTACTTTGTAGTAGTTTGTAGCAACTATTCATGTTTCATTAAATATTCAAGTTTTACATAAATCGGACTAGTTTATTAGCCCCTAGACAGCCACCTAAGAAGTAAGTTTACAAACATCATATTCCTAGACAGTAAATACCGATTCTACAGTAATTTTTACGAAATTGATCTCTTTTAATTTAAAAATGCCCAAACACAAATATTTAAAACATTCTTTTAATTAGAAGTATACGCATACTGCCAATGGTTCTAAAATGAAGCCGGGTATGGAATTTTGTGGGCACGGTATATATATATATATATATGTATATATAAATTAATTTACCAGTATGGATTCACTCTTTTAAAATAATTCTACTTTGATTAAACTTAGGAGATAATATAATCAATTAATCAATATTGTTTAGGAAATAAATTATTATTAACTAACTTTGCAGCATTTGCATAAGTAATAGTAACTTGTTTTCGCACTAAATGAATTTAAGATCATACAATATATGTATATATAATATATATATATATATACCGTGTCGTAATTTATAATATATATATATATATATATATATATATTATAAATTTTCATTCCTCCTTATGTTTTGTCTAAGTATTATTCTGTTTGAATACTACATTTATTTTTTAAATTAATTGTAAATTAATTTAATTGTCTATCAGTGTGTGGGAGAATTATTTTTCATATCTGAACATTTTACAGATTTAAATTTAGATTTTATGAAATTGAATAAAAATTTAAATAAAGATTTCGTTCAGATAAGCGAAATGATGAGTCGCTCTGCTTACGAAATGTGGGTGGTCGTATGGAGAGGTTCCAGTTCCCCTTGATAAGTCGGGATCTTTCTATGGAATTAGCGATAATTATATGTTTTTAGTCGTTCTTTTAACCCTTAATTTAGTCTTTATTTTTACTTTTATTAACTACTAAAGTTTAAGTATTTAAAACTCCAATTTTTAATTTCTACAGTAGCATTCCTTTTCTATCTAATTTCACTTCAAATTTCGCAGGAGATATTTTTTTATTTACTTATACTCTCTCTATGTATAAATATCTATATATATGTACATGTAAGATACAAAATATGAAAACAAACTTCTAATTTTAATTGATTATAACCTGCTTTATTTTTTATTTAATTTGGGAATTTCCTCTCTCTATCAAAAAAATAGCGCTATATGTCTAAATTGTATCATTCAAATTAATCATGCGATCTAACTTAACGCATAATGCAGATACCTCTTGCCCAATCAAATAGTTGTAAACCAAAACTTTTTCTAACGCAAACTGAAACTTTTGACTCCCTCCCTTCTTCTTCTGAATTGCTACGCTCTCTTTCGCTTACGCTTTCCTCCTGACAAGACGTTCCCAATCCCCGCTGCTGCTTACATGCATATGATGACATCGTACTTTAAAACCCGTGTACATGGAAATTATTGCATTCAACTATGATTAAAAAATATCTTATCTACAGAAAGATGATCTGATGGGAATTATCCTGCAATAAAATTATGTTTCGAAACGGCCATATCTGGAAGTTTTTGGCTTATGTATTCATCCTTTCAATTACGCAATAAAGTATCCTCTGGGGCCAGAAATTAACCGAATTCCTTCAACTACGCACTAAAACATGACAACTAATTTTAGTCAGACACTCTCTTCTTCCTCTGAAACCCTGCGTCACTTTTTGCTTACTCTTTTGCTTACGCTGCTGCAATCATCTATGCTTGCTGCTGTCGCCATAGTATCAAAAATGTAAATGTTCTGTAAATAGGCACAATTGGAGTGCCAAGTGAATTGTTGGCCACAAATGTGAATTTAAATAAAAAAGGAAATTAATCCGGCTCGACTTGTTCCTATAAAATATGGATCAAGTATCCACGCTTAACAACATTGCTACGCTTCTACGTCTCAGTATCCTTACATCAGTGCTTCCAAAATTGTGCTATCATTATATATGTATATCCGTATATTTTTAAAAGTATTGTTATGATGTACCGAAATATGCCACACCAGGATTAAGAAATATTTGGTGCTAGGAATTACATTTTAAGAAGGTCAAGACTGAAAGGTCTGCGTAGGTAATAGCTGTTGCGAAGTTCAACTGCATTTGTAGGAGCATTAAAAGCAAGTTGTGATTGCACCCAGCATAAAGTACTGCATGCCAGATAATCTGTTTACAGTCCGTTAATTATTTTTGCACTTAGTCGGCTATTCAATAAGAAATATTGTAGGGAAAGTTCTGCTAAAAAGAGGAGTTTGTTTTAATCGTATATGTAATGCTAATTTGCTTTAATTGCCGTAATAAAGGTTTAGTATGCTGGTGTATATTCTCTGTTACGTATGTAGCTTTGTGACAATATTTGCAACAGCGTAGTCTCCCAAATGCAGCTACAGCCTAGTGGTTCAGCAGGTTAAATATATTCAGTTAACGGCTACTCAAATTCTGGTTGAATAGATTTTCCTGGTTTAGCTCATAAACAAACTAATGTGAATCAATTTCTCATAGAAGGTTTCTTTAAAAGCAACCGACTGTTTAAGCAGACAGCTCTTATATGATTTAAACATTTGATTCAGTTTTATTTAAATCTTACATAAATAGTTGCTATAAATAATTCATCAAATGATTAAAGTAAATCGATTCATTCACGTTTTCTTTGTCTCTTAAAACTATATTTATATAAGAGGAGAAATAAATAATATGGAATATATATCAATAAAAATTGGCAAACTCTAGAACAGGAGAGCACAAATTAAAGACAATTTACGTAATTATCATTTAATTAATTAATTTCGGAGCGTTTTGAGTGGCATAAATATGGCATAAATAGTATTTAACTAAATGCTCTTCATTTCTTCTTATCTCGCTCTCTATCTATTTACATCTCTCTCCATATATATATATATATACACACAGAGAGAGACAGAGAGATAAGAATATAAGAATTACATTAAATTAATGGAAAAAGGGAAACAAACATAAATTCCTAATAAAAATCTCAAGAAATATTGTTTTACATTAGAAGTGTTAAATTAAATGTGATGACAAATATAGATAAATTTTCTTTTCTATATAAAGATTCATAAATTCTCAATGTAACATATACTTGCATGTAAGCCTAAAAACACAAATTTCAAATTTATTATTAAAATGCAATACGAAATTAAATTTTCTAAAGGTACGAAATTAAAAAGAATTTACACTAATTAAATATTTGATATCCTCAAGATTAGATTTATATACCTTATTATATACCTTATTATATACCTTTGCATTTTTTGCTAATTGCATTCCAAATTTCTAAATATGATATTTGAAATGTTGAAATATTATCTACAGGTTTTTAACAGACGAATTAATCAACTTTCATGTTTCCTCAAGAATGTTGTTCCAATTTAAAATTAACATTATTACATTAAAATATTAATTTCTTAAGTACGCAGAAGCACAGTAAAAGAAAAATTTAATTAACTCTTTACTTACGTCTCTTTTTCTCTAACCTCGGACGTGCACAGAATTTTGCAGAAAGAGTTCTCGAACATGGTGCATCCATGCTCTTACAACAATAATCATTTCCTGCACCAGTAATATTAGAAGGAGTTGCAATAACAAGTGCAGGTGCTCATCAATTGCACCGCTGACGGCTTTCATAATTGGAAACATTTTCTTTGAGTTTACAGAGATATGGAAGTTATATCAATTGCATCTCCAGCAACCAAACCTTTGCACAAGGCAACCAAGAAAGGCCATAATTTTTCGATGTTGTAAGCGCACCTGCTACAGGTGTGTTTGCATCTGTTTCAAGTTGTGAGTTGTTGCAAAGCCAAATATGGCACACACATCTCGAATCGAAATCGAAAACAAACGCATTTTATTAGCACAGTTGATACTGCGAAGAAGATTAGAGTGTTTGTATACTTGCATGTTTGATTTCTGAAATCTCTGAAGTACTTCAATTAATTCATAAAAACTTAAAGACTATTTGCAACATACCTGATATAAAATGGTCTGTTAAAAGATCAAAAATCGCTACTGTTGTTAATAAAGCGAATTATGTTTATACCTTTTTTTTCTGCAGTGCTTAAAAAAGGTATACTAAATTATTCTTTTACAATGCAGTTTCTGAAATTCTCATTCTATATTACGTGTTGGCATATTATATCTGAAGATGAGTTTTGACAGGTAATTTCGATTTACGTTTTCTATTTTATATACATAAGAAAAAATATTATCATAATCTCTAGTGATTATAAAGAAGTGTATTCGAAATTATAAAGAAAACATTATAATGTCACTGTATAAAGAAGTGTATTGGTATTTAAGTATTAACGCAAACACTTTAGTAGAAGTCGTCAAATTTTCAGAATGTGCCAAACTCTGGCAACCAAGTGCATAACAATTTTTCCTGCAACCATGCTGCTAACAATCATTTCAGTCAACCATTTTCGTATGCGTTCTTTTTCATTGTATACCAAGTTAAAACGGTTTTTATAAACAAAGCGTCATATTTTTTTGTTTTAAACTTAGTTTTAAAATATGAGCTTGTGGAATTTGCTAACAATGGAAGAAACTGCGGTAAAATTTCTGCAAGAATACAGAATTTTGTGGAAAATTTTCTAAAGCGAACAACAAGGAAATGCATTTCCTAGATAGCCGCTGTTGCCGAGGGTTGCACGAAGCCGAGTTTTCGCAGTTCTCTGATTTTTAGTACTAAAAATATTAAATTAGCGCAAAGTGCTGTTAAGTTTTATTGAAGTTTGAAAGTATTGTAGATCCAACTCATCAGTTAAAAGACATGAATTTTACAAAAAAAAAAAAAAAAAATAATACATGAAGTACATAAAAACAAAATAAGATACTAAGACATTTATCTAAATGAAGTAATTAAAAAAGAAGATGGTAATTCTGCAAAAATTAATCTCCCTTGTTTGGAGCTTCATAACAGAACTTATCAACGAAAAAGCGTTTTGAGGCTCCATACTTGGCCGATTAATTAGAGAGCCAAGACAAATTTCGTTCCGATTTATCAACTGAGACTTGGAAGCGCAATACTTAATCAATTAGTCAATTAATTAGTAGAATAAGAAGTCTCACCGAAATGTCTCTTTTCCCTATTAGCGTTTTAACACAAAAATGAAAATAGAAATATTTTACGTTTTTACAAAAACGAGTTATAATTTTTTTTTTGTGTTTATATAGTGCATGTATTAATTTCTTTGGTAAAATTCATGTCTTCTAACTGATGAGTTGGATCTACAATACTTTTAATCCTCAGATAGTCACATGTTTTATGTAGTATGCTAATAACTGAATTATTTTCCGTTGTTGATTTTGAAATCTTTCAGTTACTTGTTTGCTTCATCTTTCGGACTGATTTCATCAGATGGGAGGGAAGTCGACCTAAAGCTAGGTTTTACATACGTGTTTGCAGCCTCAGAAACATGTGGAAGAAATATTTACCAATGAATGCAGCAAAATTCAGAAAATTTATTATAGATGAAAACTCTATGTCTTTTGCCTTTTATATGAGTATAATACAAATGAGACACGTGGTTGTTTTGATTCTGTTAACCTGAGAAATAAAAATACTTTTTCGTTTGCAAGGAAAGCTTAAGAGATAAGTAAGCAAGGGAAAAAATTAAAAAGATATATTTATTCAAATTTCTCCCACAGATGTTTTCATTTCTTATTCTAAAGTGAACTGAGATAAGATTATATCCGAATTGATACGACGCTCAAATAAGTAAAACTGTTTGGTGACTAACTAAGTATGAAATTCATTTCTCTTATTTTAAGTGGAGTTCTGTTTCTGGTATCCTGCTGTCCCCCAGAAGAATCTTTATATCCTTGCGTCTGCTTGACATATGAATCTGAATCTACAGTTGATATCGTCTGTGACGATTTGGACAACGAACATGATTTACAAAACGCAGCAGCAGCTTGTAAGAAGATGCCGAATATGCATACTTTCATGATTGTTAATTCCGTATTAAATTACATTCCTCATTCAACTTTCGAAGGCACTTTATTCAAGTCAATAGAAGTGAAAGGAACCACCATGATTTCATTAAGTGACACAGATGAAGCATTTGTAGGACTGGAAAATACTTTGGATTCTTTGGCAATTGTTAAATCTACCATAGGATTATGGAATTGGTCTAAGTTAAAAGATCTCACCAGAATGACTCATTTAGAAGCCAGAGATGTTGGTCTTCAATCAATAGAAAACGATATTAACTATCTTCGTTTTCTTAGAAGTGTCGATTTTTCAAAAAATGAGATTTCATGGATTTGCGATCATGCTTTTGAAAATTTTAGTAGCTTAACTCACTTTGTCATTCCTGAAAATGAAATCAAGAAGTTGAAGAGGAGTATGTTCCCAAATCACGCATATATACTTCGTTTTATAAATCTGAGGTAAGTCTATTTATGTGTTCATACAGGGAACAGAATGTTGACTTTTTAATATGCTGTTTAATCAGTTTCAGAACTAAAGTAAGTTTTCTTGATTAAAAATATAAAAAATTCAAGGAAATAATTTAATATTTCTCAGCTTTGTCCTATTCCGAATGCAAAAGCCGCAGTAAATAACAATGCAAGTAACAAATATCAAAGAAAATTACTTTCATTAAAAATTTAGAAATATTGATCAACAATGTTATTCTTTAATAGAATTGGAAGTTACTCACAATTTAAGAAACATTTCTGTTGGAAACAGAGGCAGTAAATATTCTTCATGAGTTCACCAGTAAACAAAGTTACTTTTTTAAGTTAAAAATCAAATTGTCTCTTTATTGCCTTACTCAAGCTACTTATGGTTCTTGTATGATTTTATTGTTTATTTCTAGTGCATTATGCAAGAATTTTAGTTAATCATCTAAATTCGTATTTATTTATAACATGTCTTTTAGCAATGAATATGAAAATTTCTATGAAAATGTCGAGTTTTTTCCCCTTATTGTTTTGGTTTGGTTCAGTTGACTACGGTAAAGCACGCAAAAGCTACCTTCCTAAAGAAAGGGATGCCTTCGTGAAGGACATTCTAAGGGAAACTGACTCGTATACACGTTACACATGGGAAAACCCACGAAAACGCCCGTTCAACAAATTCATTCTCCGGGATTCTAGCTTCGGAAAGAACTACCAGCGACTTTACGGTTCGGCCCGCTGGTGGGCATTTTTTTTCATATATCGCAACTTTTATTCGACTTCTTCCATATTGGAAAAGGTATATTATAGTGTTTCTCGAGTCAGGCTGTTTCCTAATTCTTACAAATATAACTGCTGTCTATAGCTTTAACAATGAATTTTCAACATGGTTTAACGTTTTGACTACTAAAGGAACATATATGTGCCACTAAAAGTTTAAAAACGACTGCTGGGTTAAAAAGTACTTAGAATCTCCTGAATGTTGGGGATCATCCTCCAACAGTCGGAAAATCAAGACACCATTGAACTCGTTGCACATAAATGAACATAGGGAAAAGAACAAATATGAGTTGCCCAATGTGTAATGTTGGGTTATGAACAGAATGCTTTTTACCCTGTACCATACGACTTAAATCTATTTTATATAATAAAGTTTTCCAGAATAATAGGTGTGCTTATAGTAAGTCGATCTGTGCGACATATGTATCCCACCATTAATTACGGCTGGGACATATGTGTTCCAGTTTTTGGCTTGAAACCCCTTTGTCAAAAAATCCCAAATGATAACTTTATCTTATTTATGACATATTTTGTTCACGTGGATAGAAAACGGGGTATTTGTTTTAATTTGTAGTCATAGGGTTAAAATATAGATGAAATTATAACTTTCAGCAAAGGGACAAATTCTATATAACGTTTTTAGCATGCTCTTAAATTAGGCGGCTGTCTATTAAACTTGTTCAAACATCAATCTTAATGAATATATTTCACACAGTATACTTAGCCTTTAGGATGTCATAAAATAATGAGCAAATACTTGTTTCTTGAATATGTAATTTATTCAAACTTTCACTACAGTTTTCGTATAACGAAGCATAACACTACGTCAAAAGTATCTAGTTGCAAAAAGGAATACAAAAAAATAACGGTGCATTTAACCCAAAGAAGGGATTTTGGCGCTGAAATAAATTATTTTTGAAAACAGTTTAACTCGAATAATAATCGAAATTAATGAAGTATGGAACGCTGAAGAATACCTTTTTAAACGGACCTTGCCGTACATTATTACCTAATATATACTATGTACTTCTTTCTGTAAATTTGATCAGTCTCAGTTTGAGTATTCGTAAATTATTAAGAAAAAACAAATATGCAAAATTTGACTGTTTGTGAAATTGCAAGTGATTAGCGTTTCTTAACGAAACTGAAATTATCTTTAAGAAAGTCAGAATTTGTGTGTATATAAGACATTTGTTTTCATAACTGTTTATGTTTCATATAAGACAAACCCCATAACAATAAGAAATATTAGACTAACTGAACTTCCTGTCAGAATATCAAGCAGAACAACCCTAAAAGACGCATATTAAATACCATTCAAGAATATTATGCTAAAATAGTGAATGCCGACTTATTGTGAAACTAGAATTCTTCAAGAGCAGGATAAGTAATTTGTCCTGATAATGATTAGATACTGTAGTGTTTCAAAAAAATATTGCGAAAACTTCCAAGCGAAATAAACTTAATTGTCTATTGCCTAATCAATTTTCACAATTATTATCAGAAACCAATTCTCACGTTTATCAAAGATTGTGTCAAAGTGCATTGAGAGTATAGAAAAAATCAGGCTCTGTAATCTCTCTAGGCTCTGTCCTCTGTAAATGCAAGTGATACCTGCTTTCTGACAATCCCATTTTTGTTGATTCTTTATTTTGACACATATCATTTATACTTAGAATTCACGAAGTCATTTCTGTACGGAAGTATAGTACCGCCACGGTACTGACGGGTTAAGAAATTATCCAACCAAAAAGAAGCTTGTTTCTAATTTAACCCTTAATAATTCAAGTTCGATCAAAGTTAACATTTTTGTGATCGTAATTGCAAGAATTACAAGTTGCGTTGTGATTAGTATCTTTCCGAGACCGTGCTCGTGAAATGATCCTGATGAATTAAAACTAATAGCACATAAATCACCGTTTTCTATTAAATATCAATTTATTTCAGATTAAGAAAGTAAGAAAAATTACATTTTTCCTTCATTAATTCAAACATAAGGAGGATCTATATATAACCCTTAATTATTATTTTGATATTTCATTTCCTCATTAATTAATTACCTTAATCACTGTTTGGCCCTCCAGCTTATAAATTTAATAAACCGAAACAATAAACAAAAAATTACACATATGTAAAACAATTTCGATTATTTGTAAAGGCAGAGGTACCCCACAAGTTTCTTTAGTTCATAGTTTAATTATTTAGTTCTTCATGGATAACAGTAAGATTTATTAAGACATTTACTTTGAAATACAACTTAAAATTAAGAGAAAGATATGATTTATTATATTAAGAAATTTTTAGCCATGTCTAAATTCTTAGTTAATACATACATTTCTTCTTTAAAATAATATAAACAGGAAGTGATAAGCGAGGAGCAATTTATGCTGACTATATACCTATTTAAAATTTTTCTAGATTATTAAACTAAACTCTTAACTGATTTTTGCTCAATTATGAAGAACCAAGAAAAACGCCTTTAAATCCTAAGCATGAATAGAGCAAAGAGAACATTTTACTTGCTCAATAGCGCTGTCCAAGACCGAAACTGGAGATTTTTTGAACTCACTTCAAGACTAAAAATGGAGGGGAAAAAAAAAAAAAAAAAAAAAAAAAAAAAAAAAAAAAGATATTTTCTACATCAAACCAAATTATTTTCCTTAAGGGAAGTCTGGAAGTCCATTAAAAACAATTTTTCAAGATCGTTCCACACTCGCGTTCCCGATGATTTGGAATTAACAATACCCAGCACGAAGCCTAGCTTTCCCGAGCACATGGCAGAAGTCCATATTCAGGAAAAGACGAACCGTTTTCGATAAGCAGCACTCGACAAAGTAAAAGGCCTCTCCATCAAGAAATGAAGAAGTTCCCGTGTTCTTAATGCAAGCTTTACTTTTCAGTAACATGAAGACGTAAATCCATGTTTCCAGCCTCGAGTCCGCACCTTGCTACTCATAGCGAGAAAATCTAAATAGGCAGTTCATTAATGAAGTACGCCATAACAACGACGAAAGGCTCTGACCCGACTTTTCTTCGAACGCGTAACTAAATGTAGAAAGCCTTTTAAGATTCTTTCTTGTCATAGTTCAAGAAGCATTACTTTCAAGGATTTGCTAAAACAAATCCGGTTCCACGAATTTCCTAAGAAAGCGCTAGGTCGGGAAGCATAATTGCAGCTATTTCCTCTTAACAGCCAAGGAACAAGCAACTACCTCGAAGACGGCAAAGGCAAAAGTTTTTAAGATTCTTTCTTATCACAGTTCAAGAACTATTATTTCCGAAGATTGTTAAACAAGTCCGGTTCCCCGAACTTCCAGTGGAACGCTCGGTTGGGGAACATAATTGCAGCTATTCCCCCTTAACAGCCGAGGAACAAGCAACAGCACTGAAGGTGACTAAGCAAAAAGTGACCAGCACTCGAAATTCTTAAGCACGATCACACAAAAACAAGCTACCAAAAAATCCAGAATCTCACACCCCCCTTAAAGACTAAATTTCCACTTTTCTGTTAAACCGCACAAAACAGCCTATCTAAAACAGCAATCGCAGCCAGTCAGAACCAATAGCCAAAGTGGACACTTCTTTCACCAAGACCAGTTGCCCTCTCTCGAAAACATCTATTAAACCTTGACCTTTCTCACGTACACTATCCGCTCCCCCAGTAATCTAAGACAGAACAAAATTTCTCTAGAACTTTCTGCTTGAAAACGGAATGACGCAGCAGAAATCTTGCCTCACCTGCTTTTCCTGATTCCTTAACACAGATTACGAATTTTCCCGATTAAATTTAATAAATGAAAAAGTCTTGAAGCACTGGTTTTCCGGCCGAAAATCATATAAAAATATTAATAAAATAAATTATTAACTCAAAGAATTAAACTGATTCTAATTTTCATAAATAGATATAATTAAGCTCATACGTTTCCTAACAGAAAAATTCGGATATTTATTAACACATCTATATCTCCCTAAATACTTATTTATGAGATAACCTATTATTTTACTGCATTTTTTGTGAGCATATCTTATGTATATGCAAATTATCCGCGCACTTAGTTAAAGGTGTTTGACCATGATGAAATATGATATAAGCAATATGGAGAGAGAGATTAAAAAGGACTTAAGACAGTGGTGAATCTATTTATTAAGCAAATATAGGTCTAGAACCATTACACATAATAATGGCATCTCCATTCAATGGTGGCTAC